AAAAATTATATCTACAATTAGTATAATGATCATAGATATATAGGTGCATCAAGTGTAAAACACAAATTATTCAAAATAGGAGTCTTTTCTTTTTTTTTTGGCTTAGCTACTGCAAGCTGTTGAATGATGTCGTCGTCATTGAGCAGTGCCAAAACATCACTCTCCACTCTTAAAGAACAACCCAATCGTCTAACCTGCTTTGTAACATGGTGCTTCTCAGTTTTGACTTAACCAACTTCAACTTTGAAAAAATCTTTCGTACTTAGTTGTACCTATTGGCATAGCTACGAAGATGGAATACACCCTGTACACACTAGGAAACACACTCTGAAATCCTAACTGAGTGATTGTTTTTAAAATCGTTAAACAAGAGTTATTAGAAAGAACACATGTAGAATGTAGTGCATCCGAGTTAGAAGAAACACTCCTGGATTGGGAATCAGCGTAGTTTTGTTTAAGAACAAGACTATCGTATGTCTGCACCAATGCCAAGTACTCGTTTTGTGTATCTGTCAATGGAATGCCATACACATCTGAAATGTTTATAAATGCTGTTCCTGGAAGTGAATCTTTAGTAAAAATATTCGTGAAAACGGTCTGGGTTAAGAAGACTACAGTCTAGGAGCAACTCGCGATGTTTGGAAAAGCGCTTTGAAATTGCCATTATTGCTTTATTGATTATGTAGAAATAATTGTTTGTAATTAAGCACAAAGCTACACAATGAGCTATCTGTGCTCTGCCCACCACGGGTATCGAAACTCGGTTTCTAGCGTTGTAAATCCTTATACATACCGCTGTGCCACTGGGGGCTAATGTAGAAATACGTCTCAGTGAAGTATCGATCGACTGCATCAGTGTTTGGTTTATTCTTTGCCATTTCACCAGGCATTTTTATTCGCTAACGAACTCTTAGGTTAGGAAATTCTATGTCTAAATTGTGCGCAACTGAATACTGCTTAGCTTCAAGAAATATTGCATCAAAACAATTACGCATAATCACAACTGTTGAAAATTCTACGAAAAACAAAGTCTGTCAAAATGACCTCAAATGATTGCAGCTTTTTCAAAAGAAACAGCAACATTTGGAAAGCTAGCATCACTACTAATATCATCTAACAGAGATAAAAGACATTCAAATATCTCTCCATCCTCACAAAAGAAAATAACATGCTCTGATTTTTAATGAGACCACCTTCGGGTAGTTGAAACTCGCTGGGGGAAGTGAATTGTTTTAATGCCAGCCGCTCTCTGTTTGGACTCAAACATGTCATTAATTTGAAGTGACTAAAGAATGTATACATCGATTTCAATAAACCAAACAGGCTCTTGCATGGTAGAGAAGCAGAAAACACTTCCATCAGCACCAAATTGAGCACATGATCCAACTTCCATATATAATGACATCTTGGACTGGCCTCCTTCACATGTGCCTGTAGACCATTATATATGCCACTGCAATTAGCAGTTCCATCATATGACTGTGCAACTGCATTATCAAACGTTAGACTATGCTTTGCAAACACTTATTTTAGCTCAGTATACAACCCGACACTTGTACAATTAGTTACCCATGATACTGAAATCGGCCTTTCTTTTATTTCAAAATTCTCAGTCAAATACTTCAGAATTAATGCTAACTGATCTTGATGTGCTATATACGTCGTAGTGTCCACTGTAAAGCTAAAATACTGGGCAAATCGTACATCCTATAAAATAAATGTAGGTACTTCTTCGGCAACGGAATGATTTAATTCATTTTGGGAATCTGCGCTCATATTATCTGTACTGATTTTGTTCTTTTGTCCTGATGTTGAACCTTTTTTATTCTTCTGAAAGTATTTCAAGTGATCCACTAAAACAGTGTCAAATTTTGCAATCAAATACGCTATTTCCGTAAAATTACCACCATGCAAAGTCTGTAAATTATCCGAGGGTCCCCTAAAAGCGAGACCTCGTTTGGATAAATACTTGACAATAAAAATAAATCTAGAAATAATTTGTCTATTTCTTAATATATTTTGCTTCCTGCAGCTTTCCTGAGCTTGTTTTTCAGCAATCAACTCGTAGTCAGTTCCTTTCCCTTTTACATAAAATATAAATGCGATAGAAGCTCTTATATGTAAATCACTCTTTTCATGGCTCGTTAAAATAAAGGCTGCATTCTTCCACGGCCGGCATGGCCAGGTGGTTAAGGCACTCGACTCGCAATCTGAGGGTGGCGGGTTCGAATCCCCGT